TCTTTCCCATAATCAACAGGAAACGAGGACGAGCGAACCTGCTGCTGCCAGGGGGAAAAGGTCCTGCTATACTTAGACACGCTCACCCTCTGTCCCCCACCACCTCATCTGGCCTTTGGGTTACTGTGGTGACTTGATACAGTGAACAGAGCAAGAAAAAAACAAAATCTCCTCTCTTTAGCAGTGAAGGACCATTAAATGAGATCAGCCATCTTGTATAATTTCATTCTGCACCCCCCAATAGCAGATGATGTTGAGAAGTCTGTCTTAAATGTAACTGAGCCCGATCCCTCTGCCTGCTGGAGTACAAAGCATCCTATTCTGCAGGCAAGGGTCCCCATCACAACCTCCTCAACCAGGCTGAGCTGATTTGCATCCTAAAACTTCCTCTGTCAGTGAAAACACTTAAGAAGGATTTATGTTTTCTTAAAGGCATTTTGAGATTTTTTTTTCCTATGCTAAAAATATGCCATCCTGGTTTTACTGACTCTTAAACACGTTGTACATACACCCTCACGTCTCCCAGAGATGTGGGACTAGACACAAGAGTAAACGTCAGTGAGGAAATAGGAAATGCAGTCCAGAGAAAGGAACGCAAAAACGTCTCAGTTACAGATAGAGATTAAAATAAAAGTAAGGAATGGACTATTCACTCCTACCTGCTTTCACCATGAGACTCCAAATCTCAAAAGCTCATCACTTATCAAATAACGCCCTTTTGTACTCAAAAAGAAAAGCAAATGCTAGAGGGATTGGAACACCCACAAGTGAAAGTCTAGCTGACACAGAGAGAAGACAATTGCTAAGATCTTCAGAGGGTTTCCCAATCCGTTCATAATGCATCAAGTATGTCTCATGTCTGACTGGCGCTTGAAATACCCAACCATTGACCACCAGCAAATCTTACAGCAACTGTCAGAAAGAGGAGAGCATCCTCTGACGAGATGACAACGGCTGCAGCCCGTAGTGACCTCCTCCTGGCAGCATCAGTCCATGGGAAAGTAAAGGTGGTGACCCATTACACTTGGCCTGAGGCCTTCACAGGGATCAGGAACAGGCAAGTGTTTCCCCAGGAGCACTCATGCGTGGGGTACTCTCAGAAGTACTTATGATATACCCATGATAAATGAAAAGGTAATCAAGAACGACCTTAAAATGACTGATCGCCCACATTAGGAGGCAGTGTGTTAACAGATGCCCTTCAAAGCATATGAATCTGTTTTTATTTATAGAAAACTCAGCCTTACCTCGTGAATTTCTGCATGATATGGTGCCGGATCCCAGACAATTAAGATTCCAGTGTTATATAGTGCTTCCCTCAGGAACTGCTGCTCCTCAACGGTTACAAGCTTGAATAACAACAACAAATACAATAATATACAGTATGCTGTCAGAATTAGCAGCCAAGCAGTAAAACATGCCTGAATACAACCCCAGCCACCCCACTGCTGGTCATTGAGCATGCCCCACTGCATGCAGGCAAGGACACAACCCCCAGTGACGCCCTTCCAACGCCCACTCCTGTCCCATCTAGCAGGACAGGGTTTTGTGGGCAGTCACAAGAAAAACTGCCATTACGCTTCACAAGGTTTTCTTTGTCTGCCTTCAACAATAAAATAAAGGCAGGACCCATAGAGTGACCCAGCTTGTATGATGGATACCATTGCTACAACGACTAGAAGCAGGTGGGAACATCAGTTGCTGCCACCAGTCACCAGGACAGTCCAGGAAGAGCCTAACACAAACACACGGTTGGTTTTATCAAGAACCTTCCCTTGAACCTAAAAAAGTCTGCCCACGGGTGGTTTCTCCCGAGCAGCACGGACTCAGGCAGCCCGGGCTCAGTGCCGTGGGAGCACGGGTGCAAGAGACAAGAGATGACGGCTGAGCCCCACCAGACCACCTCTCCTCTCCAGAGGAGGGTGGCACAACTCGGGCAAGGGAGCTTCGAATCTGGTGAGAGCAGCAATGAGAAGGAAAGCACCACAACAGCAAAGCGCACAGGCTGGAGACAGGATTGGTGGAGGGAGACTGCTCCACCAGAGGATTTCCCAAATCAACAAAACCATGTGGTTCAAACAGAGAAGTTGCCCTCTACACTCTGGACACAACTGTCACAGCTCGTGACACCTGAGGGCAACTCAGGTCTGCAGCAAAAAGCAAACAGTCAGAATCAGATGAGACAGGGTTGGATCTCCTGTCCTCCCCACCCAAAGGCATAACCCGTACTGACGCAGCTTGCAAACATCTGCTGAAGAAAAGCATCATCATAAAAATCAGCTCCCATTTGTCCTGATTTCCTCCACGGATCTAATGAAAAGCTAGCCAATTTATCCCTGAGTATCACGGCTGTCCCTAGCAGCAGGCTGCCTTCCCGGCTGTCCCCAAAACCAGGGCACGAGGACGCTCTGGCAAGCCCAGACGAGAACTATTCCAAAAGCAAAAAGTATTTCCTCGCATCTGTTCTTAACTCCCCGGGATTAGGCTTTGGCCTTGACCACGTGTACTGCCTGGTTTCATTTCCTTACAGTAGCTAAAATATCGAGGCCACTTGTCAGCTGGAGAGCACAACGCTGCAGGTGTGAAATTCTGCCTCCGCTCCGTGGACACCAGAGCAGAGGTGAGGAGATGGTGGGGCAGCTGGCACCAGCCCCTTCGCCCGGTGCGAGCGGGATGGAGCACCACAACGGGACGGGAATAGGGCAAGGAACACAGGCGCTTTATTTTCGTTTCTATTTAAAGGCTAGAAATCTTTCAGGAACTTTTCTAATATGAAACACGTGAAAGGAGGCTTCAAGAGAGACGGAGCATCAGAGAAAGCAAAGGTCAGCCAAGCAAAGCCATGTGAGCTGGCAGAGGCACACAAACCCCTAGAGAGCTGCGACAGGCACAAAAGCAAAGGGATAAGAAACCAGGTGGGGAGCACCCCCCCAGCCACAAAGTGTTTGCTGGTTCCTTCCCCACACCACAGAGCTGCTCTTGGCACCACTAGTTACCTATCAGTCACTTAACCCATCTGCTGGAGGGACCTGGCTCCCCAAATACCTTTAGTGCCTATTTGTTCTGTTTAATATCGACTGATTCTTCCTAAGTAGTTAAACTCATTTAAATTGCTACATGGCTGATCTGCCTTGCCCAGCTTTTTTATCCTAATTAGTTCTATTGATTTCCTCGTTAATTTGTTCTTTAGCCCATTCACTGTTTGGTGAATATCTTGCTCATAGAGCCCCTACTCTCCTGGTGCGTTTATTGACCGTACCAAAACGAGTTCCTTCTCTGCTGCTACCGCAGTCAATGCCCTGTAATCTAAACAAGCTCCCCTTTCCCATCACAATCTTACTCCGTTCCACTGATGTACTATCTCCTTTCTCTTCCTCCCTGCAGACTCGTTAGTGCCAATAACAGCAAATGCAGCCAAAGCAGAGAGTGCTCTCCAAGACAGCGAGAAGCCGGCCAAGGAGAACTGTAAACAAGGGCTGGGAAGAACGAGGTACTCTGGTCCTCGATCAGCTCTGCAGAAAGGAGTTGTGTCCTACAGAACGACATTGGCACTCCTCCCACACACTCCTCAGCCCTTATTTTTGCAAGATGTGACTGCCTTCCCAGGGCAAATCGATGCTTTGTGTAAGACTGCAGGAAAACATGCCATGAAAGGAAGCAGTACTGATGAACCAGCAAAGGTCTAAGAAAATAAGCAAGGCAATAGTAAAGAATGTCTCTATTTAGAACTACCAGGCTTGTGGACCTACAAGCCTGTCCTCAGATCTGAGGATCCAAGCTCCTCTCCCCCCAGTATCAATCTATTAATCCTTCCCTATGCGCACGGATGTACAAGATACCCCACTCTACTGTTAAAACCACCCACCCCCAGATATGTGCTAGAGACTGGTCAGCAAATTACAGAAAAGTATCTTCAAATAGTTCTTAAGCAACTTAGGAGCAGTGGCCACGCATGCCAAAGGGATACTACTCAATACAGACCAGTTCTGACAGATTAGATTCAGGAGATCCCATTTCCTTCATTTTGGGAACAGACCGAGAAGTGACGAATAGTAAGAGCCAAAATAAGAGCAGCCAAGCCACCATCCTGTCCCTGTTCCCAGTGACCACTTACAACATAAGAAAAGCCAAACCCAGAACAAGAACAAATTACAGCTTGTCCTGCCAGTATCTGATGCCTGCAAGCAGCTGGAAACAAAACGCAATCAGGCAAAGCCGCTAACAAGAAGGTTAAAATGATGTCGCCATGACTAGAACAGCATCGAACCATTACAAGTGCAAATGAAAACACAGAAGAAAACCAGGCTCTCAATCCAATGATCCCTGGAGATAACAGAGACTGCAATTAGAGCTGTTTGGCTTAGAAACTCCGGCAGAGAGACTCCTGCGCTACTCACACTATTCGTCTTTTGCCCTGTTTCGCTGCTAGATCAACGACGCATTCCGAGTTCACTTTAGCCTCAAAAACTGCAACAATTTTGCTCTCCCTGTAACTGAACTTTTCAAAGCTGGTGTCTCCATTCAGAGGGGACGGTGGCAGATGGAAAACGTCACCGATGGCTGCAGGCTGATCTGCATTGGAGAACAGAAGCGCTATAATGACACGGCTATAGCTACACTTGGTCCAAAATAAGAGCATCCACATGGGGAGTTATTACTGCCGTATTACAGCTGTACAATCACACGGTTGCCCTCCTCCCTGTGCAGATAACCCTGGTGTCACACAGGTCACGTACATGGCTTTGCTGGTAAATTACTTCATATCACAGCAAGTCTGGCAAAGGGCACATCCTCCAGAGAAAGTTTTCTTAAGTGATAACACCTATCTGACATCACAAAAATACATACAGAAGGGAAAGATAAAAAAAATGGAGAGGTTAAACAGGGCAGAGGAAGAAAGATGTCAGCAGCCAGATATGTCTGCTAAAACCAGATTGGTTCAGAAAGGACAAACTGTTCCACATCCGACTGGTGGTTTAACGCAAGGGAATCGAGATGCGTCAAGCAAGGGCAGGCACGCAGCTCTGCCACGCTCGGCCCATTTGGCACACCTTCATCAGACCTACCTGGGAGTTCACAAGACGAATTGTTGTCTTTTGCCCCACGTCTTCTTGAAACCCCTTGGTAGGAGCCCCATTGAATCGCAGGACGGCATCGTGGCTGTCTGAAAGCAAAGCAGAGTGAACACCCGTGAGCTAACCACTGTTTTTTGAGTGACAGAAGAGATGTGTAACAGGTTATTCGCCTGCATTTCTAATACAATCTGGCTAGTCCCTGGCTTGCCACCTAACAACTAGAAGTACCAAGCCAGATTCTGTGGAAGAAACTGTTAGTCTAACTTTACGATCAACACACTTTTAAAAATCCACTTTTTTAAACTACAATCCTCTGGCCAGCTGAAAGAGAAGCCCTAGCATTATCTCTGCACAGAGGAGCACAGCATCTTCCTCCCTCTCCCTCTTCTTCCTTCCAAAGACTTTACCAGGAGATAGACCAATGTAGAATTAATTGACCATGTGGCTGGCCGCAAGCTAAGGAACTGGGAAATAATGGTGAGCCAGCGTCCTCTCTTGTAGCCTGGAGGTTGACCGGCCTGAGAAACACATACAATAACCACAGTGGAAAGCGAAGCTGACTTCAGCCTGCCAGCATCCCTCCCACGTTACAGAAATAAAACCACTGCTGTGCATTTAACAGGCACAGCTCTTTACACGCCTTGGGATTCACTGCATTTTCCTCCGCTGCCATCATCTCTTAAGATAGCACAGCATTCCTG